TTAAAACACAAACAGTAAAGTATATGATTAAAGCCATACAAATAATACAATCATAATGCTGTAGAAGTACAGAGAGAACAGAAATGAAACACTCTGGTGATCAGGAAAGGTTTTGTGGGGGAGAAAATAATAGAAATGAGCTTTGATAAAAAAAGAAAACAAAAGCTGGAGAAGGAGGGACAAGAAATCTGAACCATCAATTAGCATGAGCAAAGACCCACTGAGAGAGAGAAAAGTTCAGGGTGTGCTCCAAAGATGGCAAGAGGACCAGTTTGGTTGAAATAGATCAGTCCTGAGGTCCAATCATGGAAAGTGTCAAAGCCAAAACAAGAATTCTAAGCTTTATTCTAGATGCAAAAGGGAGTCACTAAACATATTGAGCAGAGAAATAATGTGATGGAGAAGGGAGATGCAGTACAAGATGCTAGTAGAAAAAACCAGTTGGAGTGTTAAAACATGGTTTGGGTATGAGGTAGTAAGACCTGAAATGTTCCAGTACAATTTTTCAACCTTATATAACCCAGGACCCACATATAAAGCCTTAATGCCTTTCATGAAGACTCCCTATTTTTTTTATTTGTTTCACATGAAGAACTGAATTAATTAGAATTTACTCTTCTTACTCTTTTTTGTATCTTTTCTGTAGCAATATCTTCTTGACCTTTTCTAATCATGAAATTTTCTTTTTTTGTTTCACAAGAACTGAGTTAATTAGAATAATTTATTTTTCTTACTCTCTTTTGCATCTTTGCTGTAGCAATATCTTCTTGACCATTTCTAATCATGAACCGTAACCCCTCTTCAAAACACCAACCTGTGTCCTTCCTCGTTTACTGATCATTCTTGTCTGAACATTCACCTTTGCTTTATTACTTACTCTTTATCCTCTATTTAACCATCGACTCCCACCTAATCATTAACCTAATGACTTCTCTCCAGCTTCATACAGTCAAATAAATCTACTCATACTCAATTTTCTTTTCCATTACCTCTTAACTTTTAGTCTACTCATATACAAGTTCTATATGCCCACAACCTTTAGCACCTTTCTGAAGTCTCTACTCAATCCGAAGACTTATAGTTTGTCTTCCAGGCTCACTGCTAAAACTATACTGAAAGACAACCCTCTCATACTCACTAAGTTTCTATTCCCCTAAGTATCTCAAGATTTCATATACTCAATAATAGCAGCTACCATTTGTTTGGTATTTCTTTACAGTAGAAAATATGTCAAGTGCTTTACATGATTATCTCATTTAATATTCAAGATTACCAAATGAGAAAGCCTTTTCCATTTGACAGATAAAGAAAACTGAGGCTTAGAAAAATCAAGTAGCTTGCCCAAGATCACCCCACTAGGAAGTTTTACCATGTTCTCTGGAGCCTACAATGTGGCTCCATTGACTTTACATACGCAGAAACATTTCCCTAAGTCCTTCAATACAGACATCAACCATTTGAGAATTAATATTGATTCCATTTCTCGATCTGAACAATGACAGCCAAACATATAAAACTGTTTATCTCTGTTGACTTCTGAAACTTTGGGAATGAGAAAATGATTTTAACTTCTTAAATCTTTACTGAATGTTTTAGAAGGGAATCTTGCACTGGAAGACTTAACTACATAAATTTTAAGGTCCCTTTTAATTCTAGGAATCTGTATCAGAAGTGTAACATTCAGCTTTTCAAATTTTGATTCCTAGGAACAAGAATCTAATTGGGAAAAGTCTACTCAAGAGTATTCTGAAAATAATTTTGTATTTACACATCTGATTCTGGCACATTACTTAGACTCTCTGAGCCTACATTTCTTCATCTGTAACACAGAGATAACATCATATGCTTTAGAAGGTTGTGGTGAAAATTAAAGGCTGATGCTTTATTTTCAATAAATTATGGCTTTTATTATTCACTTTATTTTGTATCTAGAAGAAGTTTAGTTTCATAGGATTTTAATTCAAATCACATCAGCCACAAAAAAATCTAGTGACTTTCAATCCAGATCCTAAACATGAATACTACATAAACTAAGTCAATGGGATCCAGATAAACATGTTAAGAATTATATTAAAAACTCAAACTCCCTTCTTTATCACATTTACTCAAGGAATGTTTAAAACATCTCTAATTTTATAAACACAGTATCAACAATCTATTAACACACATTAACATCCAGTACCTTTCCCTAAGTTTCTTAGAAAAATTCTAAAGTCTATTACATTTTAGATAAAGGTATACATAAGCTCCCCTCTCTTACTTACTTTCTCTAGCTCCTCCTACCTGCCTCAGCAAAAGAAAAGCTAGATAAAGAGCTTATCTAGGTAGTACACAGATAGCTAGGACATATAAAGGTCAAAATCATCAAGAAATATATTCTGGAGACTCAATAAAATATAAAATTGTTACTTGTGTAATACGGTGCACATTAGACACTGGAAAGAACAAAATAAGAAAAAATAGAGGTAATCAACCTTTTGATCTTGATATAATTTAACCCAAGCTACTTTCATATAAGAGTAGTTAATAATCCCAGGTGGAAATTCAGAGAATTTCCTGGGTAATAGTGAAATAATAAATGAAGCAACTCAATTTTTAAAAATTTGTCACCAACGTAATATGAGATGGAAGACAGAACATATTCTGGCATAAAGTTACTACCCAGGGTACAGGAAGGCACAGACTTTTACCTAGTTGCCTCACAACACCTTTCCCTTCCCCCAAGGTCCATATATTTCACAGGGCCATACCTTGTTTTATCTTGTTTAACTTACAGGACACCACTTGCACTGATTTCTTACAGGGCTGCCTCCTTCCTCTGATTTGATTAAGGATGGAAAGTAGTCAAGAGTACCACTCAGAGTCAGGTGCCCAGACAAGAGTCAGTCATTCAGGGGATCATCGAAATTATCATCTTATAATTAGTTATTTCTACATGATCACAACCTCACATCTTAAGAAATTAATCCACCTCTCATGCATGAGCATTTCAGGGATAACAAGCTCCCTATGGACATATGTCAGTCTTTAGTCTTAAATTTTTAAATAAATAAGCATTTACAGCTAAACCAGAATCAGCTACACATGCTATCAGCTATTATAATAAACCATCTAGGTGTTATGGGAACAAATTCAAAGACTGTAGGTTTTTACTAACTGCTTAGCAATATTTACCATGTGACAATACGATGTACTATTAATTTCTTTGAAAAAAATTGGGTATTAGAGAACAAATTTTCAAATGAAGGTTTATTAACAAGTCAAGATAAGCAAGACTCAGCTTGAACTGACAGAAAAACCTTAACAATGTGTTCTTAAAATGCCCTCCACATGAAATTACCAAGGGTCGTGTGCTTGTTCAAACCTGTAGTCTCAACCACCCTTTGTCTCTTGTGGAATCTCCATCTGCCTTCCTCCCAAGAGTTTTTCTAGACTTCTCAATCCCAACAGAAAAATCAATAAAAGCTACCTACAGGAATATCTTTCCTAAATAACAATCAACAACTTTAAATTCTTTTAAATAAGAGACAACTCAGAAAATCAGCTTCAGAATGCTGAAACATCTAAGTGCCGGGCACATAACAGGCATTTAGTCAAAGCATATTAAATAGACAATGTTGAGAATAAAAAAATATAACAACTGGACAGTACATTTGATAATATAATCTACCCCTTTGGCTTTGCTGATTATTTTGGAGCACAGCCATGACCAAACAATTATTGTCTCCTAGTGCAGTGTTCCCTTCAACAGTTTACATTGTAGTTATGGGCATCACTTTTGCTCTTCAAACTAAAATATAAACCACTTTTATATTATATGTTAAAATGCACACACACCACATAAAAAGAATTTTTGATGACTCAAGCATTCAATCATTTTATTTCTCAAATATATACTGAGGTAGCTAGCCAAACTTTACCAGTCTTAATATACCTCTCCCATAATATAATTACTTCACTGATGTGAAAAATATTTAGTGATATGTAATCAAAAATGTCTTAACTTCCATGCCTAGCTCATTATAGTTTCATGTGGTATTGCTATAACTTGCAGGTTAATCAGCCTTGTATGACTGAATGTTTAAACAGATATATGTGAGTTACACATAGGAACAGAACTAAAACATCAAACAAGGAATGTTATTTTGGGCTTCAAATTATTTATTGGCAAAAGAAACATTAAATCAATAAAGGGAACATCTATATTTATAAAATAGGCAGAGGCGTGGGTCACTATTGCCCTAGTCAGTTTCCTAATCTGTAGAGTTACAGAACTACACTCTGGAAAAGGCCCAATATGTAAAAAGATAAAAATATAAAAGTGAAGTTGTTCGAGTTAAAGAGCAGTTGGGGAGCAAGCCCTGCTGGACTCCTGAGAGCTCTGGAACCCCTAAGGCTCAGAAGAGCACTGTTAAAATAAATAAGCCCTCTGACTCTTCAGAGCTCTGTGCACCTAAAAAGTGATTGTGTTTAAAATTCCAGTGTGCAAATTTGAAAAGGTTAAATCTTTTTCCTCAGAACATTTTTTTTTTAAATTCCTAACTTCCTTCAGTAATGTCAAAATCATTTACTCCGGGAAAATAATAACTACCTCCCATAGATTTTTACACCTCCCATGGTCTTCCAATCACTTCTTAAAATGCATTCGGCTCATTACTCCAATTAGCAGAAAATTTAGGGTTAGGGGCGGGGAGGCGAACAGATTTCTTGGCTTGGACAACTGAAGGGTGACCTCTGTGGATTTTTAAGTACCATGCGGTGCTTGAGGAAAAAGAAATACCTCCGGTGATGAAATTTTCAAAACGTATCTAAAACTGCGGTTGGGAGAGGCACTCCACAGCCAGCTGTCCTTCAAGAAAATATTTAAAATGTACAAGCTGAACAGAACCACATCTCAACCAAACTCTAACATCAACAACTTTTACCCACACAATTTACACGGTTAAAAAGAGAAGAAATCAGTTCGATTTACTTCGGTGGATTCCTTCGATGCCTTAATAATGAATGAATTGGAAGCATCACTGACGAGTTCTGAAAGAGGCTCACGCTCAGCTCCGCCCCCTATAAAACCTGAAGCTAATTCTCCAGAATTTAGTGTTTCGAGGCCAAGTCCGGTCCAAAGGAGGCCTCGCCCCTTCTTTCTCCCGGCCTCCCTCCAGGGGTTGGAGCCCAGGGTGGCCGGGCGGGTGCGGGTGCCGGACGCCCCCTCCCCGCTTGGGGAAAGTTCCGCCGGCCGCTTTCGGGACAGGCCGGTCCGCGGCCCTCGCCCGCGCCGCAGTCACAAACACCCCGCCCGGCCTCGGCGACCGGAGGGTCGCGCCCCCTCCCCGCGCCGCGGCCGCCACAAACACCCCGCCCCCGCCGCCCCCGCCGCCCCCGCCCCCCCG